CTTCTCAGTTAGCAACCTGATTCATAACCACTACACCACCAGGGTTCCAATAGTGCTGAACATTTTTATGAAGTTAGGGTGTGGAAAGCGTCTGCCTAGGCCTTACATTCGACAGGGGGGTGGGTCTGTTTTAAAATAGTAAAAGGCGCCCTCCCTCAAGGCACTGGGCATTTTCTGCGAAGCTGGGTTTTCTGTGGTCTGCTGCTGTAGAGATTCTAGGTTGGCCCAACTCTGGAGGCGTGCATTTTAGTCGAGGTGGAAGCCTACCCTGAAGACAATGGTCTCTGAAGCCTTTGCCTCGTGCAGCCCTTATGAAGGATAGATAGCATTCGAGGCTATGAGTAGCAGTAGGTTCAGGCTTGCTCAGGGAAGATGCTGGAGCTTCTAGGGTGGAAGGTCATGTGTAATGCAAGAAGTACTCCCTTTAAACTTCCTCTTATGATGATGGATCTTCCCCCCCCTCCCCAACTCCCACACCTGAAAACATATGAGGTGGCTTTTGAAAGTTGGTAGGGAAAACAGAATTAAAAGATAATGGAATTTTTTCCATGAATTTTTTGACATTCCCTTGTGCACAAAGGTAGAATATCTACCTACCTACCTACCTATCTAAATGTAGAACTGACTCAAATATAAGAAAGGGAAATTGCCAGGGGCTGGCAGTGGCGTGGGAATGGTTATGGCCCAGCCTGCAAGGCCTGGGAATTACTGCAGGCTGAGAGACCGGTGTCTCTGGCCCCACGTAGGTAAGTACTGGAGAGAGACCTCAATGAGGACTGAGAAACCAGAGCTCTTTGTGAAACCAGAGACTGGCCACCAGGGGCTAGACACAGACCAGAAAATTCTTGACCATCAGACCAGGGTCGGTGCTGGGGAGAGGGCAGATCTCAGGCTGTGGGTAGAAATTGGGACCCTGAACCTTCTTCCTGAGGGAAGGTGGGAATCTTATTCACACTTCCCTCATAGTGCAATGTCCAAGCTGAGAAACAAACACAAATCTTGCCTTCAGTTATCCTGTTTTTGAAGTTGGGATGATAAGAGGTACCGGTGCCACTGTGTTGCCAGGAGGTGTAACGTAGCATTGTCCCAGGTGAGACACTTAGAATGATCTTGGGGCAGAGTAGGAGCCCAACAAATGCTAGCTCAGAACTCGGCACTTCACTGGCTTGGCGAGCTGAAGAGATCACAGCGATCAGAGAACCTGGAAGGGATCAGAGAAGAGCAGCCCCCAGGTGGGTAGGACCCTCTTGGACAGTAAGAGGGTCTGTCTGCTGGGGAATAGATCATGCTGGGGCTGCAGAAGTCAGGAGCACGAGGCCAGCCCGAGCAGAGCATGGATCGCTGGGTCTCCAAATCCTTTCAAAGTTCCCAGGTCCTACAACACGGCGGTAACAATAGCGACCACTCACTGGCACTAGTGATACATTAACACTCTTTATCACCTTGGGCTTCCACAGCTGCCCTGTGAAGGGTATTTATCATTACTCTTATTTCATTTCTTCCAGTGAAAATCCAGCTCCGAGGCCAGTGGCTTGTTCAAGCACTCATTGCTGGTTAAGAGGCAGGGTAGGACGTGAAGCCAGTCCACGATTCAGGGAAGCAGAAAAAGCACCCCCCCCCCAAGGGTGTCATTACAAAGGGATGGGCCTCCACTGTAGCCCCCAACCCACTGCCATCGAGTCAACGCTGGCTCATACTGTCACGAGTCAATTCCAACTCACTACGGGGTTTCTGAGCCTATACGACATGATGGGAGCACACAGCTTCATCTTTGTCCCGAGGAGAGGCTGGTGGGATCGAACTGCTGGCCTGGTGGTTAGTGGCAGGCCAACATTCATTCCACAGCAGATCAGTCCTAAAATTCTTCCATACGGCCTCTCCTCTGTGCACGTGGAACCGAGGAAACGCCACGAGCAAGCCCCGCGACTGGGCACTTGGTTTCCAGTCCTTTCTGAGCCAGTTGGGGGCAGTGTCTTAGTCAGGGCACTGAGAGAAGCAAACTTGTAGAGGCCCGAGGGAATAGGGCTGTCACAGGGCAGAGAAGCTGCCATGCAGGGATGGGGCAAATGTCTGGCTTAGGATTGTGAGTGCAGTGATGGTGCCTGCTCCCTGCCTCTCCATCATTTCTGGGCTCCCGTGTCACTGGACGTAGAAGAGGTACCTGTGGCCCATTAACTGGTCACACAGGGCAGCTTCCCATGTACCTGTTTTGAAACCACCTCTAAAATGGACTGGGTTTAAGCAATGGAAGCAACTTCCCAATTATTAAAAGAAAAAAAAAGTCACACTCTTTTCCCTCCTCGTGGCCAGATTCACACTTGCCCCTTCCCCAAACTCCATTTGTCTACAATGAATCCGACGTTGCCACCGGGCCGACCAGGCCGTTCCTGCTCCTGAGAGGTCCTGGCCAGGAGAATGGCTGTTGAATGAGTCACACGAGAGAATTGAAAGCCTGTGGGCACACAAGCCACGGTGTTTCTGATCGCCTTGCATGCGTGTGAAAGATCAAGGAAGTCTGAAGCAAGGACGCGTTTGCCTGATGTTGCAGATGAGGAGTGAAAACTTCACGCACTGAACACACGCCTCTGCCCTGGAGGAAGGATGCTCCGAACGCTCCTGAGAAGCAAAGATGGTGGGACTTTGTCTCCCATGCTTTGGATGGTCATCAGGAGAGAGCAGGATCTTATGCATGATCAAGTACACCGGTGGTGACAAAGAGGAATCCCTCCAATGAGACCGACTGACAGTGGCCGCAGAGAGGGGCTCACACAGGGTACCAATTGCGATGGCTCAGCAGCCAGGGTTTCTGTTGTATACAGGGCTGCTCTGAGTTTGGGCCAACAGCGTGTGCACAAAACCCTGTTTATCCATCACATTCCAAAGCTGGAACTTCCCAAGGTGCTCCAACAGGCAAATAAACAGTGTAATACTCCTCAGGATAAGAGTGACGAAGTACGGGTTCACACACAGAGCAATTGACATTGTTTCATGAGAGAAGTCAGACTCAAATTCCACTTATGTAACATTATAGAGGGGGCAGGTAGGACTGGGACAGGGAGCAGACAGGTGGATGCCAAGGGTGAAGGGTGGGGGAGATTTCACTTTTAGGAACACATACACACACACACACACACACACACAGAGTGTAGATTTCCTTATTCATTCTCTTGTATTTTGCCATCAAGATACAAATGATACAGATGCTGTCCACTATTGACTCCTCCTCAGCACCCCTCCCTCCCCAACATAAATAACGACAGAGGACAGCTGTTCCTGAGTCTCTTGTGGGGTGATGGTGAATATATCAATGTATGCAAATGAAACCCATACAAATGTCTGCTTTCAGGAAAAAACTACATGCCAAATTGGGGGAGGTGGGGCAGTGAAGTGTGCTCTGCAGGCGACATGGCTCCCGGTCGGTCGGGGAGCTTGCTGTTCTCAAGACATCCTCTGGAAGAGTTTGGAATGAAATGGCCTCTGAAGCGCACCAAGGGCAGCGCAGCCTCGGGTACGGCGGACTGCTTCCTGGCTTCTAAGAAATGCCAAGAGCGCCAAGCCAGTGCTCCCAGCACAATGACCCAATGTTGAGCGTCTGATATTCTAGGAAAGGTGACAGAAACGTGGCTTTCTGTGGAAGCCTCTGCCAGAGGGAATGCTCAGTGCTCCACCGACCCCTGGGCTGACTCTCCCCGAAAGGTGCTCCCTGGACACACCTTCACATCTTTAGGTTAGTGCTCACCCGAGGGGCCACCATGTCGCCACTTATTCATCATCCTCTCCAGAGGTCAATTCAATACCACCCTCCGAGTAGCCAGTCTGCATCTTTCCCAGGTAAATGGACAACTAAGTTCTCCACCACCAAACCTACTGATGGCTCGTACCCCCCCCTCCCACCTCTCCTTGCTGTTGTGGGGAGAAAAACGGCGACCATCTAAGCCTGGGGAAGATGAGGTTCAGTTACAGGGAGGCTTCCAGGTTGTCCACTTCAGTCTGGTTTCAAACAAACACGACACTATAAACAGATCTTGCTCACTGACAATTTTAATTTTTGTTTTCAGTAGTGCCCTTGAAGATTCCCAAATGTCTGGAGTATCTGATTCTCCTGGGACCACAGGTAGAGACTTTGGATGGAAACACTGGGCCTCGCTCCCTGCTCTCTCCCGAGGAGCTAGGGCAGGAAGCCTTGGAGACAAGGAGCTGAGGCGTGCACCTTAATCTAAGATAGGTAACACAGTGAACGGAGGATTAGTGGAAACAGACGCGGTCTATAGAGGGCTTCAAATATACATATTCTATATATATAAACCAGTTATACAGTTCAACTGATTGGCTTCCTTGTGTGTTGTAATTAAAATACAAATGATACAGATGTTGTACACTGCCGATGTCCCCTTCTCAGTGACCCCTTCCCTCCCCAACATAAATTAACATGACAGAGGTCAGGTGATTCTAAGAGTTTTTGCTGTTGTATTTTTAAAAACAATCCTCCCATCCTCCCCTGCAAACTACCTCTGAGTTTGTAAATAGCAGCATGGAGCGGGCAGGACTGGGGACAAGCCTGGATGTCTAGCGGGAGGGTGCAGAATACTGCTTCTTATTGACTGGCACCAGATGGGCTTCTGCCTAACGGAGGTTACGAGGGGAAGCAGAGGATGTGCAAGGTGGTTTTGGCCTCCTCCAGAGAGGTGGCGGCTGGCTGGACCACGAAGAGCCCTAAAGGCCTTGAGGTTTTGGAGACAGAGCACAGCTCCAGATATGTCTTGGCTCAGTATTTACAGTTATCTTTAAGCTACATCTCCCCCCC